CAACTCAAACTACCCGGGAGAGCGGTGCCTCCTTGTCGGTTTGATCAACTTGACCACAGTGGCCAATTACCAGTACTCGCTCATTATGCAAACCGCCCATTGCCAGCGTCCCTATTTCTTCAACTGGGCTGCCGTTTACGTTCGCTCCTTGCACATTCTCAACCCACCCTGTCGCCTGGTGCACATTCCTCCACTGGCATTTGACTATAATTTCCTCTGCAATCACATGCAGTGGGACGACTATCTCCTGCTTATCCGCTANGACTATCTCCTGCTTATCCGCTACTTTATCTGCCATCTGATGTACTGTCAAGAAAGCACCTGTTGTGGACGTCATCCACTCCTCCACGATTAGGTCTGCTGAAGAAAACTAAAAAAACTTTTCAAGAAGAACGGCAGAGAAAAAAGCAAAAACTTTTCATTTACTTCTATTAGCTTATTACACCAAACGTGCAAAGTAAATGTACTCGGACCAGACTTAGTACATTTTGTTAAGTAGGTACTCAGTAATTTTTGTGCCAAATATTAGGTTCTAAGTTAGGGGCAAACTCAAGTTATGACAATTTTTAAAAAATAAAATTTAAGGCATTTTCCCATAGGCCGCTGTAAAAATGAACCGTATATAGGAAAATGCCTTGAATTTTAATTTTTAAAAATTGTCATAACTTGAGTTTGCCCCTAATTTAGGACCCAATATTTGGCACAAAAATTACTGAGTACCTACTGTACAAAATGTACTAGGTCTGGTCCGAGTACATTTACTTTGCACGTCTGGTGTTATTTCTTCATATTTTTTACTTGTGACAAAGTGGCAAATAAAAATACAAACTTTTTAATTTTGACTCTTAGAAAATAAACTCTCATTTCTACTAACCGATGACTGTTCACAGTTAAAGACTTGCTCCAGTGACTTAGTCTCAGCTTACGGCCATATCATGTTGAGCACACCGGTTCTCGTCCGATCACCGAAGTTAAGCAACATCGAGCCGAGTCAGTACTTGGGAGGGTGACCACCTGGGAACACTCGGTGCCGTAAGCTTTTTGCATCATTTTTGTTGATTTATTAATAATTGACAACATTTACTTTTATTCTCATAGTCTCTTCAATATACCCGAAAAAAGTCGGTTATTCTCGAATTATATAGAAAGCTCTCGAATTTTCTTGATTAAGGAGCGTTCTGTTTTTAGGTAGTGTAAGATCTCGAAGCATCGAGAGTTGCAGTTAGCACCGCCTTCCTTCCAGTCAGTGCTACAATGCTCCTGAAAGTTGGTTTTCCTGTATATAAGCTCGCCGTCCAACGCACTTTGATTCATTCTCACAGTGCAAGTTACACAGTGAACACAAGCAACTAAACGCGCCAAACCGCTATCTTCAACTGCAAAAAAATCTTTTTCTGCAAATTCCTTTTAAAACTTCAATCTATTATTTTCATTCAATTTTGATCATAAAAAATCCACATCACAATGCCTTCCAAGCAGTCAAACATTGCCATCGGCATCGACTTGGGCACGACCTACTCCTGCGTCGGTGTCTTCCAACACGGCAAGGTGGAGATCATCGCCAATGACCAGGGCAACCGGACGACGCCCTCATTCGTCAGCTTCACCGACACCGAACGACTGATTGGCGATGCCGCCAAGAACCAGGTGGCACTGAACCCGACGAACACCGTCTTTGACGCGAAGCGACTGATTGGCCGCCGATTCGACGACGCCTCTGTCCAGTCCGACATGAAGCACTGGCCTTTTGCAGTGGTGAACGACGGCGGCAAGCCGAAGATCCAGGTGGAGTACAAGGGCGAGACCAAACGCTTCGCCCCTGAGGAGATCTCTGCGATGGTCCTCACGAAGATGAAGGAGACCGCCGAGGCGTACCTGGGAACCACGGTTACCAACGCCGTCATCACCGTACCCGCATATTTTTCGGATAGTTGCCGCCAGGCGACCAAGGACGCCGGTGCCATTGCCGGCCTGAACGTGCTGCGCATCATCAACGAGCCCACCGCCGCCGCCATTGCCTACGGCCTCGACAAGAAGGGCCAGGGTGAGAAGAACGTGCTCATCTTTGACCTGGGCGGCGGCACCTTTGACGTCTCCATCCTCACCATCGTCGACGGGCTCTTCGAGGTGAAGGCGACCGCCGGTGACACCCACCTCGGCGGCGAGGACTTCGACAACCGCCTGGTGACGCACTTTGTGCAGGAGTTCAAGCGCAAGCACAAGAAGGATCTCTCAACAAACAAACGCGCCCTCCGCCGACTGCGCACTGCTTGCGAGCGAGCCAAACGAACGCTCTCCTCCTCATCACAGGCCTCTATCGAGATTGACTCGCTCTTCGAGGGCATCGACTGGAACTCCACCATCAGCCGCGCCCGCTTTGAGGAACTCTGCTCTGACCTTTTCCGATCAACGCTGGACCCAGTGGAAAAAGCTCTTCGAGATGCTAAACTGGACAAAAGTCAAATCGACGAAATCGTTCTTGTTGGTGGATCGACGCGCATCCCTAAAGTTCAGAAGCTGCTGCAGGACTACTTCAATGGCAAGGAGCTCAACAAGTCAATCAATCCCGATGAAGCAGTGGCCTACGGTGCAGCCGTTCAGGCAGCCATCCTCAGCGGTGACACTTCCTCTTCGGTACTGAAAGACCTGCTTTTGTTGGACGTGACCCCACTGTCTCTGGGCATTGAGACTGCCGGAGGAGTGATGACCACCCTCATCAGTCGCAACACTACAGTGCCAACCCGTCAAATGAAAACTTTCACTACTTACGCGGACAACCAACCGGGCGTCTCCATTCAAGTGTTTGAGGGAGAACGAGCAATGACCAAAGACAACAACCGCCTGGGCTGCTTTGAGTTGAGCGGCATTCCACCTGCTCCTCGCGGTGTCCCCCAGATTGAGGTCACTTTCGATATTGACGCAAATGGCATCCTGAACGTCTCTGCTCAGGACAAGAGCACTGGTAAACAAAACAAAATTACTATTAGCAATGACAAGGGTCGCTTGTCAAAAGAGGAGATCAACCGAATGGTCAACGACGCAGAAAAGTACAAAGCCGAAGATGACCGCCACCGAGAACGCATTGAAGCGCGCAACGCCCTTGAAGGGTACGCATTTCAGGTGAAGCAAACACTTGAAGAAGAAGCGGTCAAAGCAAAGCTGCCCGCTGAAGACGTCACTAAGGTGCAGCAGAAGGTGAGCGACACTCTGCGCTGGCTGGACAGTAACGCTTTAGCCGAAAAAGACGAGTTTGAACACCAGCGATCAGAACTAGAGGCAGTTTGCAAACCCGTCATGTCCAAGCTCTATCNGTAACGCTTTAGCCGAAAAAGACGAGTTTGAACACCAGCGATCAGAACTAGAGGCAGTTTGCAAACCCGTCATGTCCAAGCTCTATCAACAGTCTGGCTCACAAGCCAACACATCATGTGGCCCGCAAGGCACTGGAAATGGACCCACCGTAGAAGAGGTAGACTAAATCACAGTTTTGAAATTTAGCTATCATTCTCTTTTCATCATCAGCACACACCATTAAAGTTTTAATTTATCATAGATCTCATTTTTAATCTGTAACATTTTCTCATTAAAAAAATAATAAATAAATAAATAGTTTCATTAAAACTAAAGTTTTGTGATAAGTTTGTGGTAAAGGATAAATAGTGGCAGAAATGAACAAAAGTACTACAAGTAGTTTACAAACTACAAAAAACTTGCAATAACAATCAGCAGTTACACAAATGA